TCCAAGAAGAAAGGAAATATAAAGGCAGGTCTTATGGGAAACCAGAATCTAATGACCTGAATTGTCTTAATTCATAAGACTTGTTGATTTCCAAGAAGTTGATGATGTGATTGGGTTTGTACATTCCTCCTCAAATCAGAACTAAAATCACTTGAATTTTGTGCTGGTGAAACTCAGGTGAGTTGTATCTTCTTCGCGTATTTAGTCTTTTCAAAAGTCTGAACACTTGTATGCCAGCAAGATTGATGTCTCTCAAAACCGCCAGTAGTCAAGTCCAGCAGTTTTCCTCACAAGGGTAACAGAATACACTTCTATTTAGAATAAATGTGTTTTATTCTGAATATAAAGCCTACATGGGCCTTTGTCACAATTATTTGAGAGCTGAGTTTATATGCTGTGACTACTTAGCAGTATAAACCTCCATGCAGACCTAAATTTTGTGTTCATATATTCTATTTGTTAGTAATTAGTTGGAGTCTCTTGAACTATTATCTCATAATTTCATCCTTCTTAATAATAGCACCACCTTAAATTTCTCTGATTTCATTTAGATTATATACTACTTTGACTGATTATAGGTCAGGTTTATGTCTCTCTCTCTCTCTCTCTTTTGGGTTCTTGAGGCAGAGTTTCTCTGTTTTGCTTTGGAGGCTGTCCTAGAACTCCCTTTGTAGAACAGGATCACCTCCAACTCACAGAGATCTGCCTGCTTCTGCCTCCCAAGATCTGGGATTAAAGGTTTTGCCACCAATGCAGGGCTAGTTCTCTATTTTTAAAGGAATTTCACTTTGAAACTTAAACAAAGCCACCCTATTTTTTGAAAACATTATGTGAATACATATTTAGTCCTTTGATTCTCCACTACTGGGGCAGAGAGGAGGCTCAGTGGGGAAAGTGACTGCCACACAAGTGTGAGGACCAGAGTTTGCATCCCAGTCTTATTGACATTGAGCAGGCCCAGCAACATGCCTGGATCCCAAGCTCAAGAGGCAACAGCAGGTGGGATCTGTGGAGCAGGCTGGCTAGCCACATGACATAAAGGAGTTCTTGTTCCCTTGGAAACAGCTGGTTGCCAAGGGATGATGCATCTGCTCCTTTATGACATAATCTCCGTGTGAGGGACATAACCTCAGTGTGAGGGATAAATTCCTTGACCCCAGGGTTCAGCAGTTGCTGGATGTAGACTAGTTTGAAGCTACTGGTGATACGTACCCTTTTGAGCAAAGTTTTAAAGAAAATTACATAAAGGTAAGCTGTCTTATTTAGTCTTTCTGCCTTTAGCCTTGAAGGAGAACAAGTAGTTAGGTCACTAGAAGGTTCGGTAGGTATGACTAATTTCTAGGTAGACCCCCCAGGTCCAGGTAATCAGGTGACCCAGTGTAACCGAGATTCCAAACAAAATGACATCCAAATCGACCCTTCACTGTAGCTTCTCTACATAGTAATAGCAGAGACCATGAGACTTTCCCAGTGTCTTCTGGTCTCATTCAGAGAAAAGGATATCTTTCTTACAATGGCCTTCAGAATATAGTCTGGCCTTCTGTCACCCATGTGAGTTCATGTCTAATCTCCCTCTCATCCATCCCATTCTTCATTGGCCACCTTTGTGTCATGCTCTCCCTCTAGGGCACCACTCACAGTGGACTTTGGATCTGTTGCTGACCTCATTCACACTCACAGCTCACCACTTCATCTTCTTCAAGCCTTTGCTGAAAATGCTATCTTCTCAGCCAAGGACCTGAGTGAAAAATTACATATAGGAATAATGGAAGTGTGTGACAGGAAGTTACAATTGAGCAGGTGTCATAAGAAACAGCAGTAATTCCACAGACTTGCCCTCTTAGAGGTGTCATCGCACATCTGACAGTGTGCTATGTGTGTAATCTTTATACATGAAACAGACAGGTATATGATTCATGATTACTAATAGGAAATGCAGAAATAATCTTTTAGTTTAGGAGGCGATCATGACCATCTGTAGTTACAAAGAGGAGACAAATTCTAAGAGTTGACTTTCTGAGCCACTGAGAAATTTGTGTCCATTAGCAAACAGGAAACCTATGAGCTATCCTGGATCTGACTCTTAGGCAACCAGAAACAAGAGATAAACACCCAGTTCTGGCAGTTTAGAACACTTCATTGTAGATTTAGATCTACACAGTGTGGAGGGTATCTGAGAAAATAACTCCTTTCCCCACTCCCACTCTTTCTATTTCTTTATTGCTATGATGAGTTGTCTAACCTCACATTCTCATTTCCTGCTGTGATTACAGGGCAGTATATACTTGATTTAAATTGGCACAATAATGTTTGAAATATAGGCATCTCTAAATCACAGGTACTGAAGACATCCTTGGTGTCTGACAGACATAAGGTTTTTAGTTTCTACTTTTTCATATATGTACGTCCACTTAGCACCACTTTTATGATTAAATTTATCTTTAGTTTTTACCTGCTAATTTTTCAGTCCAAATGTTAAAATATGATGTGATCCATCTGAGACACACTCCAGATGGGGGAGGACAGACATTAATATTCAATTTGTAAGCTCGGCTCAACTCAGTCTAACAAGTTTACTGGGCACAAAATTTCACACTAGTCATTTCAGTGAGTGTAGATGGGTTTTTTCTCAACTTATATTAGGAATGGCACCTTCTTAGGAGAAAGGTTCCCAAGGAGAAGACCCCATGGGGAGCAGTGTCTCTGACTTACTTCAGGGAACAAACAGCTGGGAGAAGCCTGGGGCAGCTGGAGTTGTTCTTGTAGAACTTGGGTGGGCAGGAACTGGCTGGGACTAGAGGGAAGGACTTGGGATGGGGGTAAGGAAGGAGTAGGGTGTCCTCGGTGTTCCCCCTCAGCCTGGGCTGATAGACCATTGCCACACGGGTCCAGCTATGGCCACCACATGCCCCACTGAGGCTTGTAGTCTTGAGGCAGCCTCTGCTTTTGAATTTGGAAACAGCACCATGCTGTATTAGAAGCTGACTCCAAGGGAGGAGTTGGTGTCAGGCTCAGGCCCAGAGCCTCAGGTGAGGGAGGAAGGGGAGCACCTGGGGGCAGCTTTGCCAACTGCTGCCCCCTTCCCCCCCCTCTGGTGTGAACGTGGGGACCAAGATGGTCCCCTAGTGTCTGAACAGATCCTTCCTCTCCACCCTGTCCCTGCCAGGCCTGCAGGCGCTATGGAGGACGAGGAGAGAAGGAGGAAGATTGAATATGGAAGAGCTATTGCAGCAGCGTGGCGGCTTAGCGGGGCGGCAGACGCGATGGAGGATGAGGAGAGACAGAGGAAGATTGAATATGGAAGAGCAATTGTAGAAGTGTGGAGGCTTAGCCAGCCCTCAGAAGCAATGGAGGAGGAGGAGAGAAGGAGGAAGATTGAATATGCAAGAGCGAAGGTGGGAGCTCAGCAGCCTGGAGGTGGTGTTCGGGGGTGGGGCAGGACGGGAGGCGGGGCGGGAGGCAGGGCGGAGCGGGAGGCGGGGCGGGAGGCGGGGCGGGACGGGAGGCGGGGCCGCAGGGCTGGGTTTGGGCTGGGGAGAGCTGTGCCTTCTGGCTGCAGCAGCAGGAGACCTGATGCCTGCACCACCAGTCTCCTTTCTCCTGGGTGCCACACAAAACCCTCTCAGCCCCCCTCCCCAGAAACTGCCACGGAATTGCTTTGCAGCCTCAGCCCTTTCACTTTCTATAGGGAGCTTTGAGCTTTCTGAGTTCGGGTTTAGGGATTTCTTTACTCCGAGGGACACCGTGCTCTGATCACCAGCCTGTTGCACTGAGGTGTCAGGCTGGCATTCTTGGGTGAGTGTGATTGGCCTGTGACAGCTGCCTCCCCAGTGGAGTGGCTTGAGTGCACCACAAGTGCCAGCTGTGAACTTGGCTGTGGGGGCGTTTTTAGAAGGGGTTCTTTCCTCCTCCTCCTCCTCCTCCTCCTCCTCCTCCTCCTCCTCCTCCTCCTCCTTCTAACTCCTCCTCCTCTTCTCTTGTATATTTGTGTAGAAGGTCTTTGCCATGGCACGTGATCTTTTGTAGTATGTGGAATGGAACTTCTGAACACCGAATATTCTATAAATTAAACAGCACCTGTCGAATTGCTGTTAATGCATTTGTTATGCATTTGGTGAGTTCAGTTTTATGTGGGCAGGTGTGTATGGCAAGACCTGTAAACCATCCAGAATTCTATATAGGAGTCTTTCATTGGGCTGAATGAATATTTCACACGTGAATTGAATGTAATGATTTCTTCCTGGTCTTTGAGCTTAGTTTTGCCTTCCTTTCTTCCTAAAATGCAGTTACCTTGGAGATAATTATGTTTTCATAGGTGGGGTAAATTAAATTATGTTTTAAACTGTATTTTTCCTATTGTAGATGTTGGCTTTGTGTCAAGGTGACATAAGCTACAGTCATCCAAGAGGAGGGAGCCTCAGTGAAAAAATATCTCCTTAAGTTCTGGCTATAGGCAAGCCCATGGCAAGTTGTTCTTAGAGATTGATTGGGGTGAACCCAGCCCATTGTGGGCTGTGCCCTTTGGGCTGTTGTCCTGGGCTGTTTAAGGTGGAGCACTCCATGTGGAGCAAGCCAGTGAGCAGCACCAAGGACCCTGCTCCAGCTCCTCCTTCAGGTTCCTGCCCTGTGTGAGTTTGTCCTGACTTCCTTTGATGATGACTGTGATATGGGAATAGAAGCCAAATAAAGCCTTTCCAAGTTGCTTTGGTCACGGTGTTTCATCATAGCAATAGTCACCCTAAGTAAGACAACTATTTCCTTTTTTCTTCTCTCACATTAACAGAGGAGAGCAGGTCAGTAACGAATGAAGGGATACTGCAGAGATACGGTGGTACATGCTCAGGATTGGTTTGTTACAGAATATGTGGAGGAGCTAACTTTGTATTTGTAGAATATGTTTAGCTGACTTTCCCATAAGCACCCTCTATGTAGGGTCTAGATTTGAATGTGTGTGTAGCATTCTATGTATAAATGGAGGAGCAGGGGAATCGGCATCTTTAGAAGCCCAGCTTTGCTTACCATTGTGCAATCTGAGAAAGTGAGCACCTTCCGTGCATCGAAGGAACTGAAGATGGAGTGTGCATCCCTTTGCAAACATAGAGACTTTGATTAGACAGTATTTTTCCTGTCCTTACTCCCGCCTCCCCTTCTTTCTTTTTTAGCAGTCTTAGACCATAGTGCAGGATAGACTTGAGCTCAATGTATAATCCAAGCTGGCTTCAGAAAAGGTGATTCTCCTGTACTGGATTTAAGTTGGTGTAAATCATTTCATAACATATACTATAATGTATACATGAAGAGCTGCTCCTACTATGATCATTTTTGTGTTCTACATAAATGAAAATTTTCAGTGGAGCAATTTAGTAAACAATTTACCGAGAAAGATTTTTTGAAAGCTCTAGGTCTTAGTTTTGGTTTTCTTCGATGTGATTATATGAGAATTCAAATTTAAGTTGTGGTGGTATTTGTTTCATAGAAAATAAATTCTATAAAAAGGGAAATTCATGCTGGTATGATGGCTCTGTTTACAAAGTGGTTGCTTTTGCATGCAATGATCATCTCCCTGAAATCCATATAAGAAACTAGGCTTGGTGGAGTGACTCTGTAATCAGTTCCTGTCCTAGTGACAGGAAGATGCCTGGAATTGCTGGCCAGCCTACCTTTCCAACACTTGGGAGCTCCTGCTTCAGTGGTGAGTGATACAGGATGGTATCTGCAATCAACCTCTGGCCACCCATGCACAAACTCAGGCAAGCACACCTGGACACACATGTACAGACACTCACACACTACTCACAAGCATACTCAGAGAAATCAAATATAGGGGAAAACACCAGTAGTTCAAATTGGAAAACACAACAAAGTTGTTACACTGTGAGTATAGAGTTACTAAAATTCAAGCTAGATGTAATTCTTGATGGTAGGAGCCTGAGTGAAGCTTGCTGTGTGTCTATTAAGAAATGGTATGTTAATTTTCTTTTCATAATAACTATACTAGGATACAGTTTTTTAGCCACTATTCTGCCATAAGTATTGTCATTAGTGGTTGGCATCAATATTTTTCATAAGGGTTTACTATAGTTCACCATCATTGAGATATACATGGGATGGTAATTCTGACTAGATGATGGTATTTTATGTGTCCTGGTCCAATGGTAGACACTTTGCATAATATTAAAGAAGTCTTATTTTTACCATTCATATTTTTCTTTCTGCCATGGCAGCTCAATGCGTTTGCTGTTCTTTTATCCCCAAATGTTTTGGTACTCATCCATTCCTTAAAACTTTCATTAGTGTTTAACATTTTAGTGATAGCTGTGTCCTTGTTTTAATTTTTGTTTGGTAAGCTTTTAAAAAGAAATCAGAAGTGCAAGAGGTGCCTAGGATTAAACATCTCTTTTAAAAATAAACGAGAAGGGTGCCTTGCTGTGGATGGTAAGTAAATTGTGTGAATAGGTGGCACTAGGCTATGGGACTCCTGAGGGTGCTATAGATATGATTGAGAACTGGAAAGTATCAACGTCTTGAATTTAGATTAGTTCCAATGTTTCCTTTATAGATAAGGCTGCAAACCACAAATAGAGCTAAATCTTATGGCACTAGCTCATTATCTTTAGTGAAAAGTTAAATTCCCACCAAACCCATGAAGGATGGTGCACTTGACCTTCTTGTGTGTGTCATGCTTTGAGACATTTGAAAGCCAAAATAATACTCTCAGAACTGGCCTCTCTCTCCATCTTCTGACTCTGGACTGATTTTCTTGCTTTCAGACATTTTCATTTCTTAGTCCTCATTCAGAAATATCCAGTGTCTTTGCAGTTCAATGGCAATTACTCTATTAAGGGCATCCTTTGTTTTGTCATTCATTTTTAGTGATAGTTTGAGTTTAATAAATTACCCAGGGCATTAAAAATGATAACAAAATCTTAGATGATAATGTTGTTCTCTTCCCCACCCATAGCTTGCTCAGTATCGACAAAGAGAAGCCCGATGTGTTGGGCAGACTACTAAGAAGAGTAAAAAAGTTTCAAGCTGTAAACAAGATGAACACAGCTCAAATATTAATGAATGTAGAAATGACATGTTTAAGAATGTTTCTCAACGTATAGAGACTAATGGGAATGCTGATTCCACCGACATGATATTATTTCCCAGTGGACAAACAAAGAAGCATAATCAGGTCTTAGCTGAGGTGAGTGTTTCCAGATTTTCAGCATAGTTCTGAGTGGAACGTCAGTGTAATGAGAGTGGCCATCAGCTCAACGTGCAGTTTAATGATGACTTTTGTCCCTTCCTGCAAATTTCAACAGTGTGGTGGTAGCTAGACCTAAAATATTTAATAATCTCAGGGGGAGCCATGTGGGCTTCAGTCAACAGGTATTTCTTTGGCACTCAAAATGCAAAGATGAGGAAGGCAGATACAAAGAAACCATTGTGCTATTTTCAGAGCCATGCCAGCAACAGTGCACCTGCTTCTCAAGAGTACAGAGGATGACAAAGCCAGCCTTGTGTGTGCTACTTGGGTAGCTTTGGAAGGGTAATATTGGAAGAATGAGTGGGAATCATCGAGGGGTTAACAAAAAAGTAAGGGAAGCAAACTCTGTGCAGAAATAAAGGCATTAACAAAGATAAAAAGAAGTATGCTGTGTGATGTGGTAATAGGAGATCGATTTCATATGGATTCCAAAGGGAAGGGGTAGGGTGGTGGCAATTTTGAGGTTTTGGAAATGGTGCTCACGCCAGCTCTCCTAGAAATTACCCAATGAATCCTAATTCCCCAAGTCCCTTCCCCTTGTCTAATGGTGCAACTTTCTGAAATGTTGGAGTTAGAATGAAGTATAATGGTTGGTAGGTGATTGGCTCACCAACCAAGATGAGAAATAGAGGGATGGGTTACTCAGGAGAGTATTAGGAGGGTGGATTTTATTTTAATGTTGTGCTACACCATATTTATGTAGAAATAAGATTAGAATCGTTAGGAATTGTACTAACAAGGGTTTCTATTTCTGTGACAAAATACCGCACCCCAGAAGCAGGGTGGGGAGGAAAGTGTTTCTTCGACTTATGCGGCCACATTTCTGTGCATCCCTGAGGAGGTTAGGACAGGAACTCAAAGAGGACAGCAGCTGATGCAGAGGCCATGGAGGTGCTGCTTACTGGTTTGCTACCCATGGTTTGTTCAGCCTGTCTTCACACATGGGAAACTTCAGCACATGGAGACTGAAGTGCGATGTAGTTTCATTTCTGCTATTGTAATAAATACCCTAATAGAAGCATCTTAGGGGAAGAAAGAGTTTATTTGACTTATGATTCCAAGGTCTAGTCCACCATTGCAGGTAGATCAAGCTCGAGGAAGCTAATCCTATTTCATCCCACAACCCAAAGATAATAAATGTGTACACGCCTAGTATTCTGCTCCCTTTCTGTACTCTTAAAAAGTCTGGGACCCAAACCTAGGGAATACAGGTACATAGATTGGGTTCTCCCTTTCCACATCAGTTAGCCCAATTAAGAAAAACTTTTCACAGGCCACCCTATGTAGATGAGTCCTCACTGAGCCTCTCCCCAGGTGATTCTAGGTTGTGTCTAGGTGACAGGTAAGCTAAACATCATTTGGGAGGGCTGGGGAGGTAGAGGCGTGCCTGGGCTGTGGAGTGAGACTTTGGAGAGGGGGACAGGAGGAGAAGGGAAGAGGGAGACACACTGAAAATATAACTGAATGCA